CCCAAAAAATCCCCAAAAATCCCAAAAAAAATCCCAAAAAATCCCCCAAAAATCCCCAAAAATCCCCAAAAAATCCCCAAAAAATCCCCCAAAAATCCCCAAAAAATTCCCCAAATTCCCCAAAAATCCCCAAATCCCCCCAAAACTCACGGAGCAGCAGCAGCAGCGCGAGCGCTGTCGGGACCTGTCGCGACATGAGGGGAGGGGGGAGGGGCCGCCGCTTTTTTTTTGGGTGAATTTCGGGCGATTTTGGGGTCCCCGAAGGTTCCAGAAGCTCCCGGGGGGGGGTCCCGGCCTCGCTTTCGGGGTTTTGGGGCGATTTTGGGGCGTCCGGGCCACGCCCACCCGCCAAGCCACGCCCCCTCGGGGCGCGTCACGGCGAGGCCACGCCCCTTTGTCCATATATGGGCATGGGCGGGGCTGGGGGGTTTTGGGGGTTAAAAATGGGAATTTTGGGGGGTTTTGGGTGGAATTTTGGGGATTTTGGGGTTAAAAATGGGAATTTGGGGGGGTTTTGGGGTTAAAATTGGAATTTTGGGGGTTTTGGGTGGAATTTTGGGGATTTTGGGGTTAAAAATGGGAATTTGGGGGGGTTTTGGGTGGAATTTTGGGGGATTTTGGGGTTAAAAAATTGGAATTTTGGGGATTTTGGGGTGGAATTTGCGGGGTTTTGGGGCTAAAATTGGAATTTTGGGGGGTTTGGGATGGAATTCTGGGGATTTTGGGGTTAAAAATTGGATTTTTGGGGGGTTTTGGGGTTAAAAATGGGAATTTTGGGGGGTTTTGGGTTGAATTTGGGGGATTTTGGGGTTAAAATTGGAATTTTGGGGGATTTTGGGTGGAATTTTGGGGATTTTGGGGCTAAAATTGGAATTTTGGGGATTTTGGGGTTAAAAATTGGAATTTGGGGGGTTTTGGGTGGAATTCTGGGGATTTTGGGGCTAAAATTGGATTTTTTGGGGATTTTGGGGTTAAAAATGGGAATTTTGGGGTGTTTTGGGTTGAATTTGGGGGATTTTGGGGTTAAAAAACGGAATTTTGGGGGATTTTGGGTGGAATTTGGGGCAAAAATCGGAATTTGGGGGATTTTGGGGCAAATCCGGGGGATTTTGGGGGGTTTTGGGTGGAATTTGGGGGTAAAAATCGGAATTTTGGGGGATTTTGGTGTTAAAAATTGGAATTTGGGGGATTTGGGGGCAAATCCGAGGAATTGGGGGGGATTTTGGGTGGAATTTGGTGGATTTGGGGGCTAAAATCAGAATTCTGGGGATTTGGGGATTAAAATCAGAATTTTGGGGGATTTTGAATGGAATCTGGGGCAAAAATGGGAATTTCGGGGGATTTTTGGGCGAATCCGGGGGATTTTGGGGGATTTTGGGGCAAATCCAGGGGATTTTGGGGGATTTTGGGTGGAATTTGGGAGATTTGGGGGCTAAAATTGGAATTTTGGGGGATTTTGGGGTAGAAAAGTCGATTTTGGGGCGAATCCGGGGGATTTTTTTTGAAATGAATTTTTTTTTTTTTTATTGAATTTTTTTAATCGAATTTTTTTATCGAGATTTTTTTATTGAATTTTTTTTTAATGGATTTTATTTTTTAAATCGCTTTTATTTTAACGAATTTCCCCCAATTTTGGGGTCCCCCCCCCTCATTCCTGGGGGTCCCCGGGGGTCTCGGTCCCCTCCAGCATTTCCTTGTAGCGGCGCTTGAAGAATCCCAGCTGCGAAAAACAACAAAAAACACCCAAAAAATTAAAATTTTGGGGAATTTCGGGTGGATTTTCAGGGATTTTGGTGGATTTTGGTGAATTTCGGGTGGATTTGGGGGGATTTTGGGTGAATTTTTGGTGAATTTTGGGTGAATTTTTGATGAATTTTGGGTGAATTTTGGGTGATTTTTGGGTGAATTTTGGGTGAATTTTGGGTGATTTTTGGGTGAATTTTTGATGAATTTTGGGTGAATTTTGGGTGAATTTTTGAGGAATTTTGGGTGAATTTTTGATGAATTTTTGGTGAATTTTGGGTGATTTTTGGGTGAATTTTGGGTGAATTTTGGGTGAATTTTTGAGGAATTTTGGGTGAATTTTTGATGAATTCTGTGTGAATTTTGGGTGATTTTTGGGTGAATTTTTGGTGAATTTTGGGTCATTTTTGGGTGAATTTTGGGTGGATTTGGGTGAATTTCGGGTGATTTTAGGTGGATTTTGGGTGATTTTAGGTGGATTTTGGGTGGATTTTGGTGAATTTCGGGTGATTTTAGGTGGATTTGGGGTGATTTTGGGTGGCTTTTGGGTGGATTTTGGGCAGATTTGGGGTGATTTCGGGTGGATTTGTGATTTTGGGCAGATTTTGGGTGATTTTGGGCCGATTTGGGGTGATTTGGGGCGGATTTTGGGTGATTTGGGGCGGATTTTGGGTGATTTCAGGCGGATTTTGGGTGATTTCGGGTGGATTTGGGGTGATTTTGGGTGGATTTTGGGTGATTTCGGGTGGATTTGGGGTGATTTCGGGTGGATTTTGGGTGATTTTGGGGTGATTTTGGGTGATTTTGGGGTGATTTTAGGTGATTTTGGGGACCCTCACCTTGTAGAGCCCCAGCGCCACCAGCCCCAGCAGGAGGAGCCCCCCCAGGGACGCCCCCAAAATGAGGGGGAGGGGGTTGGGGGTCTCCACCCGCTCCAGCTCCGTCTGCACCTGCCACAGGTGAGAAACCAAAAAAAACCGGGTTAAAATCCCCAAAATTCAGGTGAGAAACCCCAAAAATCAAATTAAAACCCCAAAAATCCGGTGGGAAACCCCAAAAATTCAGGTGAGGAACACCTGGACCAGGTGAGGAACCCCCAAATTCAGGTGAGGAACACCTGGAGCAGGTGAGGAACCCCCAAATTCAGGTGAGGAACACCTGGACCAGGTGAGAATCCCCAAAATTCAGG